TTTTACATTGGTTCTACAAGAAGAAACTGCAGAATGTTGTCAATATTTCGACAGCACTAAGGTACATTAAAAATGATCAATTCTGACAAATGTTGTATTTCTCACAACTTAACCTGGGCAAAGCAATTGGAAATGTGTCCTCTAATAGATGTCCCAAAATACTGGGATGTATATGCATTGTCTCGCCAGTCGCTTATAAATTGTATGCATCCCTACTGTTGCCACATGCAATGCATGCTGGGAGGGGGATAAATGCTGGGAAGTATATGTATTATCTTACAAGATGTTGTACTAAGGGTCGCCAGTCGTTTATAGATTTTATTCATCACACTGTTGCCACATAAATGCATGAAGGTAAGCTGATCGTGGTGCTAAATGATTGGATGTATATGCATTGTCTTCCTACACTTTGGAATTTACTCTCTGTACATATTAAAAACTGTTCTTCTGTGCTTCATTTAAAAAATTACTCAAAATCACCTTTTCCATTAACGTGCAAAGCGCCTTTGATAATGCACCTCGGTCGTTTAATTGACGCTTTATAAATTCTTATATTAAAGTTGTTCTACGCCAGTCGTTTATAAACTTTATTTATCACATTGTTGCCACATGCAATGCATGGGGGTGGGGTGCTAAATGCTGGGATGTATATACATTGTCTTACCAGAAGATGTTCTACGTAAGTCATTTATAAATTGTATTCATCACACTCACATGCAATGCATGGAGGTACGCTGAGCGTGAGGCTAAATGATGGGATGTATGCATTGTCTTACAAGAAGTTAATCTATGCCAGTCACTTATAAACTTTAATCATCACTACTGTTTCACATGCAATTCACTAAATATGACCATTAGACTTCATTGTAATAGGGATTTAGTTCCATTTTCTGGGATTTAGTTTAGCATACTCATTGTTTACCCTATACAATAGTGTTTAAATATTGTGTACTCATAGGAAGAAGTACATAAACAAAATTGAACTGATTCTTAAGTCGCACACCCATTAAAAGGAAAGGTCTGGTAATCGGCCTAAAATTACAAAAAAAAAAGATGATTTCAAGAGTTTGAGTACAAGACAAATATTAATTCACTGCTAATAGAGAAGGTGGAAGATATGGCTTAGCTGTTGATAACAAAAATTGATAACTTGGAGATTTTATTTATTTGTTGCAGTATCCTATCAAAACGTTAGTTTTCAACCGACTGAGGGCGCTAAACTGAGATATTTTTCCTATGATAATATAAGTAATAATAGAAATATCGATATAATAATAAGAATTACTTTACCGACTGACCACCCACACTCATTTATTATGCAAAATGATTTATTAAATTACACATTACAATTACATTTACATTTTATACCAAAACACCAGAAAATAATGGTTAGAGAAAAATCTAAATTGTGAAACTAGTTTAAAAACACAATAACAATTATTTTTAAAATAGTGAGATGCGCACAAAAATATTAAGTGTTTTGCTTTAGGGCACATGCGACTTGCACTCCTATTCTTTATTAAGTGTTTTGCCTTAGGGCACATGCGACTTGCACTCCTATTCTTTATTAAGTGTTTTGCCTTAGGGCACATGCGACTTGCACTCCCATATTAAGTGTTTTGCCTTAGGGCACATGCGACTTGCACTCCTATATTAAGTGTTTTGCCTTAGGGCACATGCGACTTGCACTCCTATATTAAGTATTTTGCCTTAGGGCACATGCGACTTGCACTCCTATATTAAGTATTTTGCCTTAGGGCACATGCGACTTGCATAGAAACTACTTGTTATAAATTAAACCATACGATAACTATATGAAGAAATGTTAGTTAGCCTTTATAATGGACTGACATTAAAAAATCGTATGTCACATAAATAATGTATTATGTGATTATAATTTGTGCATGCTTATTAAATTTGTAAATTTATTTAATGAGGAAATGGGCAAAAAAATACAACCCTAACAAAGACGAAAACAAGATTGTTCTAAAAATGCTTTAAAATGTTAAAATACAGATAAACATTTCACAACACAAAATACAGTAAAACTATTTGCGACTATTATAGTACCTCGCTCGATGCTCTGCAACAGGATTTCTATTGGACGTAGTGGGCGCGGTTTGCAAATTGCAGCTTCGTGGGCAATTAGGCTATTGTTTCCGTTTGGCGAGGTAATGTTTTTAAAAATCTCCTCTGTGTAGTTTATAACATATATATGCCTACATTCAGTGGCGTATCCACTGGTGCTCGGGGTGCCCTTCAGAGGTTGAAAAAAAAAATAAAAGGCGTTACTGATTGGCAAGAATGCTACAGTTTCGCTGTTCAGAAAGCGAAACACTATTGATGTCTTATTAGAAAAATACTGTAGGTGATACTTGACTAATAGGACAATGTTACTGATTTTTTTTTCAGCAACACCATATAAGAATGCTGCTATTTACGGGCATTTAGAGCTGCTACACTTTTATGTTTATTTTTGCCACAGCCCTAACGACAGTATAGGGCTGAGGCGGGTGTTAAACGCTTGGTACTTTCTCCATATGTTTGCCATACATGCATAGGCCTACAAATACTAAAATGTACTTAAAATTGAACGAGACATGATATCAATTAAGACACTATAAAATAAATATTTGAGAATGCAATTTCTGGGCTTTTAGTGTTACATCATTGATATTTTTTCGCGTCAGTCCCAACAATTGTGGGGCTGAGGTGGGAGTAGACTCTCCTGATATTTGCCATTCCCTCCTATAGTTTTTTTTTACATATATATTTGATGTATTTATAATTGAACGTCAGCCTAACTGGTCATATTATAAACAATTATAATTTTTTTAAATATCAAAGAGTGCTATTTTTAAGTTCATCTCTAACCATTGTGAGACTGAGGTGGGTGTGGTGAGCCCTTATGCTAGTTTTCCCCCTCTAAAATTTCTAAATTCCCTCCCAATGATCAATGAGTCTAGCTATGGTCCTGAAAGTAACTAATATCAGCATTATATTTAGTAAATACTTCTTATGCGAGAACACTATACAACTCGACTTATGGTTTTCATTATGATTGTTTTAGGATAAGATATTTATTATTACAAGTAGTTCAAATAATATTTCAAACTCAAATTTATGTCACAATTTAAAAAGTAATACTCTAATTTGTTTTTGTTGACTCAATTTGTCAAATAAAAGCAATTTAAAAAGGTAATTTAAGTTCCATCATCATCATTTATTATCAATATCATCATTTATAATCACCATGAATTATCATTTTAAATGTTAGCGAAGTGTATTGATCTTTTTAGTTTTTTCTTCTCTTGTGTGGGGGTAACCCATTTTCATTCAATCTCATTTATTTTTTCATCATTTTATAAATATAAATTTATAAATAAAATATCTTATTGCATATCACACTTTTTAAATATAGGCCTATACGTAGAACATAATAATTACAAAACAGTATTCAAATGACATAAAATGATAATGTAATCATACATTTCTGTAAATAATTTATCAATAGTGTGAAATTCAGACCGAAACATGGATGTTGCAATTCTTGCAACAACACACACACACACACACACACATATATATTATATATATATATATCTGTCTCTTATACACATATAGAT